ATTACCATGTAAACAAAAGAATAATAAACTGGCTGCCATTTTGGAATAAGGTGTATGTCATGATTATTGTAAAGAGGCACTTTGACCATAAGTAAAACTTTTACAGAAAAAAATGTATGCAGAAGTCAAGTTCACAGTTTTTTAAAACTGTACTTGTACTCAACTACAATACAAAAATCATGTCTGACTCATTGCTTTCTAATAACTGTGTAGTAGAACTTTTCAAGATTTAGATTACGCAAATTAAAACATGCGATATATATACCCATAGGCAAGTGCAATTAGAATAAAATTAAATGTTAGAACGAGCAATGTTCAATTTGAAAACCCATTATAAAACAATGAACTAAAATTACAATTTACCTCCAAAGCAAAACATAAAAATATACAAAACTAAATTCTGATGCCACATGTGACAAAAATCAAAGCCCCAAATTTACTTAATTTCCAATTTGTGTAACACTAACTATATGGAATACTCATTAATCCTAGCTAGTTTTATTAAAGATAATTTAAACATGATAAGAAGATGATAATTTAACATAGCTGGTACATGAGCTTCAAAAAAATACAGCTCAGATTAAAAGGTTTTGCACTTGGAAATAAAATGCTGTAAGTGTAATGTTGGCAAGGGAATAGCTTGAAAAGAAACAAATGCATAATGAACGATAATTTGTACAAAAATGTCAAAAGAAAACAGGACGAAAAGAAGCATAAACCTGAAAATACAGGCAGGTAAAAAGGCAAACAGAAAACTGCAAAAGTTTAAAATACAAACAACTTTTTGGAGAATGGTTTACTGACAGAAGTGTTATTAAAGGGGTAAGGCCGCCTTAAGTGACTGTTGATGTAATGTGAAACTGTCCTTGTGTTTCAAAAGGAAATAGAAGGCAATTTGGAAGGAGAATCTAGTATTTTATCAAACGTCACTTTGAGCTTTTTTTCAGTCACCCCTTCAACTGATATTCTTACTACTGTATTTATTAAACAGATTCTGATAGAACTTGTGACTAGAATAAGAGTCTGCTTGTACATGTATATGAGTATTGTTAAGAGTCCTGCATTTGTGTGTGATGGAACGTATGCCTTAGCAAATTTTGTGGTATTGAGTGTGTAGTGTCTACCTTACAGAATATGTCATACTCTACATGTACAAACAAACTGAGGCCTGCAGACTACAGTCAAACCCCACAATGGTGACCATGGAGAGAGAGAGAGAGTAATCATTGTAGAGAGGTACCTGGTCATTATGGGGAAGTAGAGGTGTAATACGTGTATGACAACTGATTTCATTTTGGAGGAGGGGTGCAACATTTCTTTTTTTCAAAAAAAAAAAAAAAAATGCTTGTCAGTAGCATAATATATGGATTTAGGCCAGCCTAAAAGCGAAGCTCCTGGGCCGGGTTGTTCATTTGGACTATTTGGAGTATGGCCGCCATTTTGGGCATCTCCATCGCCATCGTCGCCGTTGTGCGTACACACCCATGAGCAATACCGCTAGCCATGATAACCATGAGAAAATCAACTCATGGGTTTCTTTTTCTTTCCTATATGAGTATGGGGCTCCGCTTGGCGGCCCTTTGGGCCGCTGGAGCTCTGCTATCAATGCATGACACAATCAAAATAGAGATGAGATGAGACCAATGATGTGCGGTACAGATCAAGTTTCGTGAAAAATGGGGTTTTGTATACACTGTTCACCAGTCTTTGATTAACATTATCAAGCTCTAGGCTATTTTGGCAGTTGCGAGATGCTTTTAATTACATAGTAGCTGTTTTGGAGAGACTAAAATGAAAGTGAATGTATGGAATGTCTTCCAGGAAAAAACAGTGGCCATTGCAGAGAGGTGGCCATCAGTGGAGGTTTGACTGTAATTTTTTAATTGATTTAAAACAACTGTAACTTAGTGTAAGAAACTTAATTAAATTCTTAAGAAAAGTTTGTCTTATGAATAGATCCTTATTACACTAGGAGGGTTTCTTTTGTTCTAATTATGAGTACAGGTAAAAATATATTTGTTAAAGTAATAAAGCAGGCCATTGTGCAAACCCAAACACAGCAAGTGCCATTTTCTTTTTCATTTTTTTTTCAGTCTTGGATGAAAAAAGGAAAAAGAAAGCTTTTCCGCCACCAATGACACTCAACTGTGTCAATAAATATACATTATATAATATAACAACTTACAATGAAATATTAAACATCTTTGAAAATGGTATTCACAACTAGTAGGCTAAATTGTTAATGACCCTAGACTCCACGTTTGTCATGTACACTGCTTGGAGGCAAGGTATTCATTGTAGGCTACGGTGACCTTTTCACTCTGGTATCGGGTCACTTTAATGGAGTTGCGAACCTCGGCAGTTATAGTCCCTTTGAAGCCACCTTTCCTTAAGAGGGAATCAATAGTCTGAATTTGATTCCAACCTGGAAAAAAAAGATAGTTATGTTACAGTTAGCAATTTTATAACTCAGTAATTTATTATTAGTTATTTTGAAACTCTTCAATGTCCTAGTGAATTTATAAAATAATGTACCTGTTTGTGATTATACAAGAGCCCAAAAACTAATCAAAATTGTGATGTTTGGTCAACCACTGATGAATCAACTGAACAATATGAATGACTGAATAATTGACTGACTGAATGAATGAATGACAGACTGACTGACTGACTGACTGACCGACTGAATGGCTGACTGACTAACTGACTGACTAACTGACTGACTGACTGACTGACTGACTGACTGAATGGTTGACTGACTGAATGACTGACTAACTGACTGACTGACTGACTAACTGACTGACTGACTGACTGAATAAAGGACTGACTGAATGATTGAATGGCCGGCTGACTAACTGACCGACAGACAGACATTGAATGTTAACATTGAAATAGGGTAAATGTATAACATGTACCTTGTTCTTTGGCAACTTCTGGAAGGTAAGTGGCGGTTCGTTTATGGCCTTTGTCATTATAAAATTCTATCCTTATACCATGAACGCCAATCTGGAGGAAAAAAAAAAATGCAAACTGTCAGTTAGTTCATAATTATATAGCATGGATAGTCCATCATTTGTGATTGATCATACTACCCGTACAAACTTTCCTTATAAGTGATGTATCAACTCACAAATAATGGTCCTGAAATTTAGCCTGGGACACTACTGACAGGGAGTATTTCAATTTTGGTATGTACACTAATTAAAAGGAATTTTGAATCTTTGTGCTTGCTTGCTGGTCAACATCCTGAAGTATCTCGAGTTCTTTGGTGGAACTGGTACGTAGTGTTGTCCACTTATCTTTAAAAATTGACCCAAAATACAATGACAACAAAAATCAAATTATACAGCCAGGGGTCTGTTTCTAGGAAGCCCGCAAACTTTTCAGGCCTGCAAAGCCATTTTTAGATAATCTGTACATGTATATCTAAAAACCGAGAGGTGTACATGCTGGACACTCCTCGTATGAAGAGAACCTCTGTTCAGTCAAACTTGAAAGTGTTCCCTAAAAAATACATGTATGTCTCATAATCCTCTAGGGTTGGAGTCCATTGATGTACATGTTATACTACTTACTTCCCAGTCTAAGCAATTGACATTTTCCTCAAAGTTGGTCAGAACTGACACAGAGCAGTAAAGGAGAGCTAGTTCCTCTTTTGTTACAGGAGAAAATCGGCTATCTCTAAGGGCGCTGAAAAAGATGCAGCATTATTACACATGAGTCTTGCACAAATTTAATTTGGACTTCCTATTATGTTCTGCCAAAACATCAGACAGATGTCAGAGCCAGATTGCATCACAATGTCCTACAGAAGTCGAGTTAGGGTGTAGTCTGTGTTCCAGCCTAGTGGCCCATCAGGTCCAGCACTTACATGTATCTCTGGTTTCTGTAGCTTGAAGCAACTAGGAGTATTTCAACTCCTTGATAATCATGGGATGCTAACTAGTCCCTTCTCCCCCCTCTTTCATTCATGATTAAATTGGTATCACAGGTAGATTTATACACATGAGAAAACAAATCCACAAAAAGAGCAATAGCTCTTGCCAAAACAAAACACAATGACCCCAGCTGGTGCTTGAACCCAGACTGCTTAATCTGGAGTCCAGTAAACTAACTATTAAGCCACCATGCCTTCTGCACAGTGGTTGAATTGAATACAAATCTGTACACGTATGTAGGCATCTGCAGTGTTGTCAAAGTTTGACGTTAGCTCTCTGCTGGACGACGGATGTACATGTATGCGTTGTTCTTGCTGTTCATCTATGTCAGGGCTGGAAATAACAGTCGGTCATCGGACATTGTCCGACCAAATTTTGAATATGTCCGGCCAATTTCACATTTTGATCGGACATGATGTCTGAACATTTCACCAACACCTATTGTCCATCCATAAAATTTGGTTATATAAATTGTTAAAAAGGCTCGAAGTTGCGACCGGTACGGGCGCCAATGTGGCAAAAATTTCATCTTTGGCAACCAAAAATTCTGGTTTAGTCGGCAACCCAAAATATGTCCGTGTTCACAGGCTACCATAAATGGTGACTATGTTTCTCTGCGTTGACAATAATGGTTATTTTCTCAGTCATTACGTCCTTCCAGATATACATAGTGAAAGATCTTTGCTTCTATATCATTCAACATAAAAGAAAGCAATGTATCTTTTTGCTTTGCTGTAAAGGATTCCCTCACATCGCAAAACTTGCAAATGGCTGATCGTGTTTGAAATCGCCCTATAATACATTGCAAACCCTTGAGTATTGAGCATGTCATGTATGCATACTGATTGTGTCTTTTGTAATGCAGACACAATTAGCGGCCAAAAAAGTCTTAGAAATTTTTTCTTTACAGATGTAATGTATTGAGTTCTTTTCTGAATAAAATTCCACTTGATTTTTATCACTTACTCGCCAAATTGCTACTCAAGCATTATTTTAAATTTTGGGCCCTTGACTCTGCACTGACAGTTTGAGCCATATCCAGGAGCCCATTAATTATGGGCTTCTGCCATATCATAAAGCAGAAGTGTTCATCTTTCCTGTACTTACCAAATACAGTACTTTTCAGAAATCGCCCTATTATCCATTACGTGCATTGCGATATGCTGTTAGCACTTCATGTATGTACCCTAGAGTCAACTTTGGTCAGGAGCCCATCATTAGGAGCCTGCA